TACAAAGTACATGTAGATTGTGAAAAAATGGAGAGAGAGAGAGAGAGAGAGAGAGAGAGAGAGAGAGAGAGAGAGAGAGAGAGAGAGAGAGAGAGTCTGTGTGTGTGTGTGTGTGTTTTGTGCGAGTGCACCCGCGCGTGTGTAATGCAAGTGTGGGGGTGAGTGGGTGGGTTGGGGGTGGAGCGACTTTGGGTACTTTTCTGTGCTGTATCAGACACCGTTCTGTATAGAGCAAAGCCTGTTGCCTCGCAGTTTTAGACGTCTCGGAGCAGCTCCACTTTTCCAACATATTGTTCTTTGCAAGGGAACTCACACCGGCAACAATGACCAAATAAACTTTACGACGGAGAACCAGTGGAAAATTGTGACAACTGTACAATGAGTGGGGGTACAAATAAATTGCTTCCACGGTGTCTTGAAACCTTGTCTGTGCCAGATTTTTGAGTAAATTTGTGTTTTTACCCTCAGAAAATTCACTTGAGTTGGTGTCGTGATTCCACGTGGCCGTAGTTTGCTTATTTTGCGTTAACCACTCTGTGACATTTGGTGATCGTTTATCCGTAGCCTCTTTTGAGGTACCCAGACCACTAAATTTCGATGGTCATGCCCTTTTCCAAATGCCATCAGTACACGAGTCTGGGGTCCCGTTTTTACCACATACCGAGTTTCCTGTTTCCGCTAGATAGAAGTAATTGCGTGAATAACTGGGTTAACATGCTGGATCAAACTGGTGATAATAAATGCATGATAATTAAAGTTCACTTATGTAGGGGATTTCCACTTACAAAGTGCCCGGTGCGCTTTACAATAATACAAAGAACACAAGCGCCATACGGTCACAGTGACGATCTATCTATCTCTCTCTCTCTCTCTCTCTCTCTCTCTCTCTCTCTCTTAATAATAATATATCCAAAATTTTATTGTTGTGCTGATTAGAGTTTTTTGGGATCATTTTTTAAAAGATATAATTATAAATTATCAATGTAAATTAAATCTTCGTCCAAACTGTTCCATAGGCTAGTTAAATTTAACAATAGTTTAAATAAGCCAAAAACATTTTCCGACTAAGAGTTAAAAGGGCTTTGTTTGAAAAGGGTCTAACTTTCAACAAAATTGCAGTTCCTTACATTTTTACAAGTTAATTTATTTCAGAACTAGATCTTATATATATGATCTTGCCAATCACACCTTTCATCAATAGTAATAATAATACCTAAAAACTTTGTTTTTCTGACTCAATAGATTTCAATATTGTCAATACATATAATATATACATTTGTATAATTTATCAAAGGTAGCTGATCAGGGAGGCAATATCCAACGTCTCGCACAATTAAGGTGTTCCAGATTTTGGGGCCAAAAAATGAGAAACTTTTCTCCCCAAAAGATCGTAATTTTATTCTAGGGGCTCTGAATTTTCTTACATATGTGGATGACCGTAACTGACGAGATGGAACATATACAGTGTTTAAAAAAATAATAAAAGCTCAGATGGATCAGATGGGTCTTTATCGTTAAGACATTTAAAACAGATAGTACAAACTTTATATTGGATTATTCTTGTATCAATTGGAAGCCAATGCAGAGCTTTTAACATTTTTTATAGGATCTTTCTTCTTTTTCTTCAGCACTAGTCTTGCGGTGTTATTTTGGGCTACTGGCAGTTTCCTCATTCGTTCACACGAAATACCAGACAGAACAGAATTACAGTAGTCAAGTTTTGACAAGACGTGTAAAGGGAGACATTAAGAGAGCGTGTATGCAACATTGGTTGAAATAAGGTGCTTATCTTACGAATTCTCCTGAGATCAAGGTACATACATCGAATAACATTATTTACTTGGTTGTTCATGAACATATTATCTGAATTTTAAAATATACCTATTATAGATTCTTGACCTTAAAGTTAAAAAAGGATTATTCTAGTATTTTCAATTTCTATAACTGACTTCTATTAACGTCATTATTAATTTAAGGTTTTTTGAAATCCTAAATGGTTTCTGTATTTTCATCATTCAGCATTAATTTGTTTCCCCCTTCCATTTTTTTCACTCTTTCAATGCCTTTCTCCTGTCTTTCAATGAATTCATCGGTGCCACATGGAGAGCCATAGATCTGTGTGTCATCGGCGTAGCTATTCGAAATGCTAGCTGAGTTGATACTTTCGTATTTCAACAGAAAGCGGTTGTGTATACATTGTGAAAAGGATTGGGCTTAAAACTGAACCTTGGGGAACACCAAACTGAAGAATGCCCTTTTGCGACTTTACGTCTTTTATCACAACAGCTGATTGGTTAGCGATTTGACAAATATACATGTACATGTATAGTTGTTGTCAGTTGTTGAACCCTTCGATTGCAGAACAATGAATGCAAAAATCTTACTGGAAACTAAAACAAAAGGGGCTGACGGTAGACCATGCCAGATTGACACACAGAAGTTTAAAAGATAGGTAACCAGAAAATATAGAAAATTAGGACATAAAAGTTATGTAAGGCACTGTATTGTAAAATAGAGAAATTGTCTTACAATGACAATGACGTATATATAGGCATCTGCACGACCAAGCATAGAAAATAAATGGTGAACCATCAGCGCCGATTTCTATTTCGGATTTGGTACTTGAAAAACAGAGAAAAGACGGAAAGCACTAATTCTTCTTTCACAAAAAAACCCAATATAGATCTAATTTAAAATAAAATGTGGTCATTATTCTCAAGAAGCTCTGGCCGGGACATCAACATATAAAAGAAATAAGGATAGGCGTGGTTGGCGGGTGCTCTGGTGTGGTATGCTTCTTCTTTCCTATCAAACATCTATCATCCTTATCTCCCCTTCTTCTTTTTCATGTTTGTTACTCTCTTGCAACACCTCTAATCTTCTGGAGCTCATATGACCTTATGCAGTTGCGAGTGCCGTAAAACTTCTACTAAAACTAAACTAAAAGAAACAGGAGCAGCTATCCCCAGTAGTGTGGGAATAGTAAGTCCATCGTAGATTTGCTATTTACAAATAGCCTAGCTGAGGATGGCATTTCTTGATTGCCAAATTGCCATTTGATAAATTTGTTCACCTACATGTTAGACTTAATGATTTATTATCTCAACTTTCCTTTATCTGGAATGAGGATTAAAAACCGACAGAAAGTTCTGACTAAAAAACTAGTAAAATCTATTCCATGATTTTTATTCACTGTATATGATTCCTGTAATACATAGATCTAGAAGTTTAAATACAAAATTATTTATTTAAAAGAAACATTCTAACCTAATTAGGCCCTGGCTAACGTCGTTAAAAACGAAAGTTCAAACTCAAACAAACGGCGGGTGAAAGTGGAAGTGGAAGCAAGGTTTGTCTCATTGAAGTTTCTTTCATTTTTATTGATCTCCAGCGCTTCAGGTCTGAATGCATTCACATAGCCTACTTGTTTGTTAATATTTTCTAGATCTATAATCTAGATAGATCTAGATCTAGATCTAGTATTCCCTGCAGGTGGTCTGCTAATCTTCAATTTTACCTCTTTGAACATAGCAGACCACCAACCGCCACTAACTACTACTAGACTAGATCTAGATCTAGATCTAATACTAAGATCTAGAATCTAGATCTAGATCTAGATATTAGATCTAGATCTAGATATTAGATCTAGATCTAGATATCTAGATTAGATCTACTAGAATCTAGATATATATCTAGATCTAGATGTAGATCTAGATCTAGATCTAATCTAGATCTAGGAATCGGCTAGATCTAGATATCTAGATCTAGATTTCTAGATCTAGATCTAGATCTAGTCCTGGATATTATCGACCAAGTGTTGTCGGAGAAACTTCAAGGAAGGACTTCCGTAACGAGCGACGGAAGTCCTCGCTCGTTACGGAAGTCCTCCCGAAACTTCCTTCAGTAAAGTTAGAGCCTGATTTAACCCTTAGGTTGAGAAAGCTATCACTATGGGCCACTATGGCAAGACAAACACAGAAAGAGCAACAAAGGCACAAATCAAAGAGCAAAGATTGCTAAAATGTCGATGCGGTTCACTCCTTTGGGCCAGAGAACCCTCAAGTGTGGAAGTGTGCATGGGGGACCATGCAGAGGATCCGCTCAGCGGGGACGTGGAGGAAGCAGTGGCCAGCAAGACGTGCGTAATTTCCAGTACTATGGGGGATCCCACAGCAGACAATGTCCAGCTTTGCTTGTATGGGAAAACATATGTGGAGAATGCTCCAAGAAGAATCACTTTGCCAAACTGCGCCACGCAAGAAAGTCAACGAAGTGAATGTGGAAGATGAAGAAGAAGAAGATACCTAAAATATTGTCAATAAATAGAAACTAGAAAGGGAATGAAACGCCATGGAAAACAAAGAGGTAGCTGTCGGCACAGTTTAAGATTGAAACGGATGCAGACGTCTCAATCATAACGGCAGAGACGTTTGCTGAGTTAAAGCCGAGACCTGTTCTACAGAACACCAAGATAATACCGCAGCCCAGGCGGTGTTTTGAAATGCCATGGCAAGGTAACCATGAACTTTACAGGCAAAGGAAAACAATACGCAGTGACAGTTTATGTGATGCCAGCACCGGAAGACCTTCTGAGCCGCGAGGATGGGACTAGTAGCGCAGGTAGATTCGCTGTTTGGAAGCTTTTAGATAAAAATACTATCAAAACTAAACCAGTGAAAATCAAGCTGTTCTTGAAGGAAGATGCTCAGCTGTACAGTGTTCATACAGCCTGCAGAATCCCCAGTCCCCTCAGAGGCAAGGTCAAACCACCAAAGCCTGGAGGTAACAGTGGAGGCCTTCCAGAGCAGCCCCCACTATCTCCATCATCGCACATGTCCATGGAGCCAGCGACGTCTACAACTGCAGTGCGGGCACCGCAATTCAGCAGAAGCGGCAGAGCCATCATTAAGCCAGCACGTTACCATGACGAATGATGTGAAACTCATGGCCTGTTTTTCAAAGCCAATGTGTAGCTAGATTGTGCTTTGAGCTAGTATTGTGTTGATGTGTTCTTTTTTTTCTTCTTTTCACTCTAATCAAAATAGAGAATAGTAGACTGATCTCACCTGATTTAAGTTGCTGTGTAGACTAACAACAGTCATAGGTTTATTTTACTTTTATTTTTTCTGATGGATTACAAGTTACTTTTACAGGAAGGAGCATATTTTCCAACACTTCAGTTGCCTAAAAGACTTCTTCAGCCGGTGTGGATTTAAAGTATAAACAGACAGAAGAACTGGAAACTACAAACTGCTTCAGAATTCTTGTCAAGATGTATGACAGCTGCACCTTTAGCTAAGGAACGAAACTTCATAAACTGTGCCGGATATATCATAACAAACGGTTGGACAGTGCAGAATATCACATTCGTGATAAACAGGACATTCAATTTATGCAAAGTCTAACTCTATTTCAATCCACATGTGTATAAGACATTGTTCCCTTGTACATTTTAATTTTGACGCTATCACTTTGGAAACTAAAAGGGGAAGATGTAATAATGATGTGGAATACTCATACTGCCATTCATTTCTGGTTTGAAAGTCTTAATTAAGGCAAATGAAAATATGCCTCTCTGAAACCCCCCAGGTTCCTTTAAGGTCAGGGGGCCATGCCCATCTGAACCCCCCCAGGTTCCTTTAAGGTCAGGGGGCCATGCCCATCTGAACCCCCCCAGGTTCCTTTAAGGTCAGGGGGCCATGCCCATCTGAAACCCCCCAGGTTCCTTTAAGGTCAGGGGGCCATGCCCATCTGAAACCCCCCAGGTTCCTTTAAGGTCAGGGGGCCATGCCTCCATGAACCCCCCCAGGTTCCTTTAAGGTCAGGGGGCCATGCCCATCTGAAACCCCCCAGGTTCCTTTAAGGTCAGGGGGCCATGCCTCCATGAACCCCCCCAGGTTCCTTTAAGGTCAGGGGGCCATGCCCATCTGAAACCCCCCAGGTTCCTTTAAGGTCAGGGGGCCATGCCTCCATGAACCCCCCCAGGTTCCTTTAAGGTCAGGGGGCCATGCCCATCTGAAACCCCCCAGGTTCCTTTAAGGTCAGGGGGCCATGCCTCCATGAACCCCCCCAGGTTCCTTTAAGGTCAGGGGGCCATGCCCATCTGAAACCCCCCAGGTTCCTTTAAGGTCAGGGGGCCATGCCTCCATGAACCCCCCCAGGTTCCTTTAAGGTCAGGGCCATGCCTCCATGAAACCCTCTGTATGTTGTTAAACAAGTCAAATATTAGATTGGCAAAATTATTTTGTTTACTTTCTCGCGTTTAATTCCGGCAGTGCCTAGATTTCTAGATCTAGACGAATCTCTATGCATCCCCGGATGATTCAAAACTGCGCTGGAGTTAAAAGAATACTGTTTATTGAATACGTAAACCAGGGCGATTTCATCATTTTTTTTTGTAGTAACATAGCGCCCTACTGAACTGGCTTTAGGCCTTCCGTACTGATTTTGGTGGTAATTGAGTTATTCATAGAGTTCAAAATGCTTCTTCTTTCCTATCAATGATCAAACATATATATATATATGTCGTCCTTATCTCCCCTTCTTCTTTTTTATGTTTGTTACTCTCTTATCTCAAATCATTCTGGTGCTCATTTGAGCTTATAATGCAGTTGCAAGCGCCGTAAATCCTCTACTAAAACAAAAAAAAACAGTTCAGAATGGTCGCTCGTTACGGAAGTCCTCCCCTGTAATTAAGCGCAAGAAAGTAAACAATTACCATTAGATCTATTATAATAAAATGCCATTGATCCTACTGCAGTAGTTCTGTTTTCATACATCTATAGAACTCAATAACTATTGATTTGCGGCAAAGATGAAAGCCATATATTGGTGTTCAGCATGCAAAGTACTACTAGAAAAAAAGTATATATAAAACATGTACATGAGATGGGTGCACGAGAGTAAAAAAAAACCCGAAATTGGTGTTCTTTGTCACCACAATAATGTAGCCTTAGTGTAAGTTATACGAGGGACGTCCAGAAAGTATGTACCGTTTTAAAATTATTATAAGAAATAATTTTCCCAATCAAAACGATTTATTTTTCAATACCTCATATATATATATGACTACTTCTCCACGTAGTCACCAGAACTGTTGAGGCATTTGTCGTAGTGTGGGTATATATATATATTTCTTGTGCATTCTACAGACACCAGTATGGAACCCGAGGCTTCAGGGTCCAAAAAGCATACAAGTATCCTTGGCGATGAGATACAGCCTTTGCAAGATGACTCACTGAAGCGAAATGTGTCGAACATGCAAGAAGGGAAGGCAGCCGAAAAGCCCTCTAAGAAGAGGCGATCGAGCCTGTCGTCAAAACGGAGGTCCATTACAGGAAATGTGGATCCCGAATTTACGGCAATTGAAAGCACAGGTTTGAAATGTTAATAATTATTTACACTGTTGTGCTTCTGCATCCAATTTTCCAGGTGTGTTTTATTATTTTTTTAAAAGCTCAGTGGTTGTAAGGGTAATGGGGAGAATATATGTCAGGGTTACAGATTGTTGTGTCCATACCTATTTAAGTATAAAAGGAAAAGGCAAAGGTTATTTTATTTTAGATCAAATAGTCCTTGACAGCTGTTTGATATAATGTCAGGCTAATTGTGGTCTACATATTTTCATTTTGAGGTGCCTTATTTTTGGTTCTAGTCAGTCAATGCTTTGCAACTTATAATGTTTTTGTCAAATTTTGTTTTTCCTGCAGTATCCTGTCAATTCCCTTCACTTTCTATCCAAGCAACTTTTTGGCTGTAAACGTGAGCTCCAAAAATGCACTAAACTCAATTTATTCTATATACTTTGTTGACTTGTTTTGATATTGCATCTCTTCTTTGAGCTTAGAGAAGAATAAAGGGTGGGGATTTTGAGAGTTTACTGTGTTTATTACTGTATTTTATGTCTCATGTATCTAATTACGGAACAAAGTCTGATTTACATTATAATGTCTTTCTGTCTCTCTCTCTTGTAATTCCAGATTCTGCCTCAGGCGAAAGTCAGGAGAGTGCAGCGTCAGGGCAAATGTCTCAGGAAAACGAGCCAGGGAAGCCAAAGTGAGAATTTGTTCAGTCTCGTGCTTGATGATTTATAGAGTTCTCATACATCTCCTTGTCCCTTTATCATCATCCCTTGCCTTGCCGACTGGCGTGGGCGATCATAGACCTCCACTTCACTCTGTCTTGTGTTGCAGCAATGGTCTCTGTTGTTCTTGCTGCTCCCAGCCATGTTGTCATCTTATCCAGTGTCTTTTCCCTCTGTCTGCCTCTGCCTCTCTTTCCATCAAACTTGCCTGTTGTTACAATATTCTCCAATGCTTCTTTCCGCATTGTGTGTCCGAAGAAATTTGCCTGTCGCTTTCGTATATTCGTCACAAGCTGTCTTCTACAATTTGCTTCAACCAAGACTTCTTCATTTGTTTTTCTAGCTGTCCATGGGATACGTAGCATGCATCTTATGAACCACAACTCTGTCAGTCCCTTTATAGCAGTAAAAAATATCAAATGTCATCAGTACGTCTTCATGTTCACTTTATCTCAGTGTTCGTGTCATTTCTTTTGCGTGTAATTTGTAAATGCCTTGTTTGTTTTGTTTTCTGATTTAAAAATAAAGATAAATGTCTTATTATGGTACTGACAATATAGCATTCAATATTCAATGTTACTGTTTTCTCGGGGTAAAAATATTCTCGTGGGTGGTTGGCGGGTGCTCTGGTGAGGTTTTCCGCTTCTTTCCTATCAAACATCTATCGTCCTTATCTCCCCTTTTTCTTTTTTATGTTTGTTACTCTCTTGTAACACCTCTAATCTCCTGGCGCTCATATGACCTTATGCAGTTGCGAGCGCCGTAAAACCTCTACTAAAACTAAACTATTAATGTTCTCACAATTTTCTTGTCCTTGGACTTTTCTTATCTCTAGTCCTTTAGTTTTGAGGGACTGTCAACTACATGATAGTTCTGTTAGATTACAAACTTGCTGGAGGGCCTATTTGCAATGGCTGATTTACTTGGCGCTATTTATAGTCATTTATAATCCAGAGTCTTAAAGTAAAGCTGAAATGCTTTCTGCACAGGCTGAAGCCAAATCCGGCCAACGAGAAGATGGAAAAGACCATCGCCCAAATGGAGTCTCAAATGGAGAAGTGAGTTTTTGTTTGTTTATTTGATATAAAAGTGTTTTGTGTCACTTTGTAAACTTTGTTGGACTTCGGTCCCAGTGATTCAAGTAAGTAACAACTTGTGGTGTAAACGCACCTTAAGAATAGAAGGACATGTAGCGTGAACACACCTTAATAACTATTGTGACGTAGGCCTAAGGGACGTATCACGTGACTGTGATTTCGTGCAAGCGGCGGGAAATCTGAAGGTCATTCTCTCACTGAAGCCGAAACGAGTAACATCGGCTAACGAAGAACTAGCAGACGACCAGCAGGTGGGACCCCACCAGCATCAACTATCATCCTGATCTACTACTCCAAGACTCAAGTAAGTCGTTATATAACACAACTTAAAGTAACTACCATTATTTGCAGTTTGTCTTGAGTTCAATACCTTTCTTTTTGCTACCTTTTTTTTTTCTTCTTTCCTATCAAACCTCTGTCGTCCTTACCTCTCCTCCTCCTTTTTTGTGTTTGTTACTCTCTTATGTAACACCTCTGATGTTAATTTGCCCTTTTCCAGGGACTAAGGCTTTGGAAGTCACCAAATTTTGGTAGTCATTTTCTTTCTAAGTTTACCTCTGATACCATTGAGGGAGGCTTTGCGCTGCCAAGAGCGAAACGCTCGCAGCTAAAGGGATTTGAAAACAACAACTACGACAACAACCCCTGAAACCAGGCAATCCCCACCTCTAGCAATTGCAAATTATATCACGAGTTTTATTCAAGATAGATGGGTATTTTTTTCACTGACAGCAAGATAAATGAAGAACCTTTGAGATGGAAGCCATAACTGCACATGCCTGATTCCCTACATCTGTGAAATAATTACGAGTGAAACTGTATTTAGTTTTTGAATAAATTAGCATTCAAATTTCGAAAGAATGACTTTTTTTTAAGGGTTACTTTGACAAAATGCCTTTTTACTTTTTATCTCGAATAAATCTCAAATAAATCAGATTTCAGATGATACCAATAACTGCACATGCCCAAAAACTGACAAGCGCCTGATTCCACCGCGTCGTGACACAAAATAGATCTATGTGTGTGTGTGTGTGTGTGTTTGTGCATTTCCTTCCTGCGTGGCTGCACATGTGCGTATTGTTAGCACTGTCCAAGGCAACTCATGTCTCTAGCTGAATTCTCATGCCCTTAGCTGATACAACACCTTTTTCCATTTTTGGTGCCAAATTTTATTTGCTAAATCGAAAGCCTGATCGGTTACCCTTCTTGTGTGAAAAAATCAGAGTGAAACTGGTTAGTTTTTGAATAAATTAGCATTCAAATTTCGAAAGAATAAGCCCTTTTAAAGGGTTACTTTGACACAATGCCTTTTTATCTGGAAACTGTTGTTGATCTGAAAAGAGCATTTTGTCAGTGTGTGGCTGTGTTCTCATGATGAAGTTGCTCACTAGTAGTGCTGCGATTAACAACAGTTTTGTGAGGCAGCGTGGTGAAATCAGGCGCTCGTCAAAATAGCAAAATCAGAGAAACAGGCATTTTTCTGCCAGTTAGGACATTTTAATCGAATTTTTATTTTTTAGCTTAACCTCTTTTATGTCCATATAAAGACACATTTCTGTCTGAATTATACTTAAAAACATTGATTAAAGACACCAAATATGTCATTTTTCAGTTTTCAAAGACTCTTTAGCAATGGAGTTTCCAAACTTATTTCACCACTGAAACCAGGCGAATTCACTTCCTTCAATCGCAGATATCTTGAGTTCTATTTATGCATCATGGATATTTATTTCATTGGAAGCAAGGCAAATAAATCAGCTTTCAGATGATATCAATAACTTCACATGCCCAAAAACTGACGAGCGCCTGATTCCAGCGTGTTTATTTGTGTGTGTGTATTTGGTCATGTACAATTTCCTTCCTGCGTGGCTTCACGTACCATCATCATCATCCTTGCCTTTCTCACCCTGCACCAGGGTATAGGCCACGGACAAACACCTTCCACCTTTCTCTATCCTGGGCTAGCTTCTTGATGTTATTCCATGTCTTCCCACTTTTCTGTACATCGATTTCTGTGATTCTTCTCCAAGTTCCACGAGGTCTTCCCCTTGATCTCTTGCCCTGTGAGTTTCAATCCAAAACTTTCTTTGTTATGCAGCTGCCTGACTTCCTGAGAGTATGTCCAATCCATCGCCACTGCCTTCTTCTTACCTCATCTCTGACGGGGATCTGTCTTGTTTTCCTTAACACTTCCACATTGGTGACCCTGTCTGTCCATCTGATCCTCAGTAACTTTCTTAGACACCTGTTCAAGATAACCTGGATCCTCTTTATACAAGTCTGTGATGCGTTCCATGCCCCACATCCATACAACAGGACCGACTTCATGTTTGAATTTAAAATCCTCAGCTTCACATCGTATTGTAATCTGTTAGCAGTGTCCATGGCAACACTTCCCTATGGCTGTTGACAAAAAGCCGTTTTTCGTTTTTGGTGCCAAGTCTTTTTATTTCCTAAATCAAAAGTCTGATCAGGGACCCATCTTGTGTGAAATAGTCAGAGTGAAACTGACTAGTTTTTAAAAAATAAATTAACATTTTAACAGGCTGTGTTGACAAAATGCCTTTCAGTCTCAAAACTGCCTTGAATAAGAAAAAGACGTTTTGTCACCATACAGCAGTATTGTCATGATGAAATTGTTTGCTGCACTAGTAGTGCTGTGATTAACAACAGTTTATCTTCTATTTCCCGTAGCCTCAACAAAGAGTGTCGCAGATGGCAGGAGATTCTGACAGAGATGGAGCATAGGGAGGAAGAAACCAGAGTGTAAGTCGTGGGCTGTTTGTCTTCTTATGTGACAGGGAGAGGGAGATGTGACGGGGAGAGGGAGGTGTGACAGGGAGATGTGACGGGGAGAGGGAGATGTGACAGGGAGAGGGAGATGTGACAGGGAGAGGGAGGTGTGACAGGGAGAGGGAGGTGTGACAGGGAGAGGGAGATGTGACAGGGAGAGGGAGATGTGACAGGGAGAGGGAGGTGTGACAGGGAGAGGGAGGTGTGACAGGGAGGGAGGTGTGACAGGGAGGGAGGTGTGACAGGGAGGGAGGTGTGACAGGGAGGGAGGTGTGACAGGGAGAGGGAGATGTGACAGGGAGAGGGAGATGTGACAGGGAGAGGGAGGTGCGACAGGGAGAGGGAGGTGCGACAGGGAGAGGGAGGTGCGACAGGGAGAGGGAGGTGCGACAGGGAGAGGGAGATGTGGAACTTTTCCTCTGCAGTGGCCGACGGTCTCATTTAAATCACTCAGCCCTGGGGCGGCTAAGGACCCGGTCTACTGGTTGTGCCTAGTGGTTTAAGGTGTTTTGGTAAAATCGGCAAAAAATTCTAAATCAACTTCAGTCGCTGTAATATTTCACATACTCACACAATTTGTTAAGTCACTACATGGACTATTTACCGTTTACAAAATTTGATAGTCTGAGATGTTGCCATTTGAAAAAGGTCAGCGACACACACAAAAAAGTCGCTCAGATGAAAGACCGAGACTCGTTCTCATTTCCCACTTCGTTATCATGTGCTACGTTATTTTCAATTGTAGGTCAAGAAAGCAACCTTTGCCCTTGTAATAATAGTCTGTTTCTTATGAAGAAATGGTCAGGGATCACTTATAAAGTATAGTCTGTTCTTATTTGATGTGTGTTTCAGGAATTCCACTTTTTTCCGATATTTTGATCCTGATCCGCTATTCCGTTAAGATCGAGATAGAATCTATAGTTGGAAAAGAAAACCAACCCACCCACACACACATACACACACACACAACCTTCGCCAAATGTTCAAATAACACAGCTTATGTCTGTTTGTTTGTCATTTCTCTCTATGTACACCCTTTGGGTTTCAAATTGATATTCGTATGTTAGCAAGACCGTGGCGCGTGGATTTTCAGCTATTTTCAAAAAAGTTGAGTGGCATCCCTGGTGTTTACGTTATTAAGCAGTAGAAATTTCCATCCCGGTACTGTCGGGTTCAGGGCCCAGCGTAGAAGTGAGCAACCCGACTATCTCAGGCTCAGAGCTGAGTGAATTAACGTCTCATTGAAGGTAGTTTCAGAGGCAATTTGTTCACTGCTTTGATGACAGTTGGGTCCATGTACTGAAGATAAGTCATCACCATGCTTTATGGGAACCAGGGATGTAAATCTTCCAGCTTTTTCCGTTTTTTCCGGCCGACTTGCCATTTGGGTCCCAGCTTTTAACAAATGTTTACTATAAACAATACATATTATATATACAATGTATACTAAATAGTGATTATTTGTTGTAAAAGAGGTAAAGAAACAAATGTGAGGTGTGCTGACAAAATGAGTTACTTCTCGGATTTGAGCATTATGGAAATTGATACATCAACTTGATAGGTGAAGTTTGTACAATTTGTGAGCTTGGAATAGTAAAAGACACAGTAAACTTGAACAAATGGCATCAATTGAAAATCTATAAATCTGACCCCAGTGTCGATTTTCAGCCAATATCTCAATTCTTGGATCGTGAGAAGTAACTCATTTTGTCAGCACATCTCACAAATATAATTTAGTCTCACTGTATTCTTATTTCAGTCAATGCGCGCGCGCATCGTATATTTTCCGTCTTTTTTTTTCAAAACCTGTTTACATCCCTGGGGAACTGCCACTTAGTGACATTGAATTGGGGGGGATTTATGAATTATGGCGAGAGCAGAGAGTGGTCAACTTTGATGACCAATCACAATCTCGAGAGCAGAGAGTGGTCAACCTTGATGACCAATCACAATGGCGAAAGCAAAGAATGGTCAACCTTGATGACCAATCACAATGGGGAGAGCAAAGAGTGGTCAACCTTGATGACCAATCACAATGGCGTAAGGCATGCCACTTAGTTTTCAATTTCTTTTACTATTGTGTCTTATGTCCCTCTTTCTCTCAAGCAAGCTAACGAGCCCCAAAAATAAATGTGTCACATGTTACGAATGTACAGAATTCCTCTAAAAAATAAACATACTTAGCATTTGCCAATACAAAATAAAAGTTGGGAGAGTAGATGATCCTCTGGATTTTTACAAGAAGACAATAAACTACAGTCGTCCTTCCCCTCACAAGCAATCTTGATTCCGTCAATCATCATCATCATTGCCTTTCTCACCCTGCACCAGGGTATAGGTCACGGACAAACACCTTCCACCTTTCCCTATCCTGGGCTAGCCTCTTGATGTTTTTCCATGTCTTCCCACTTTTCTGTACATCGATTTCTGTGATTCTTCTCCAGGTTCCGATTCCGTCAATAATTCCGATATAATGTCACACCCATAATAAGATAATTGCGTAAGTCATTTTTGGCCGGTTTAGAGTTTTTGGTTCTGAAATGAAGATCAGAGCCAGCTTGGTTATATATATAGTTCACTTGAACAAAAGAATAATCCAAATATAAAATCTATTGAATGTAAAAAAAATTTCAAGCATTTGACAGAGTCAATTGTTGGAAGAAACCTGGGTTTTTTTCTCAAACGAGCTAAAAATGACTTAGGCATTTGTGAGGCGTGCTGACAAAATGAGTTACTTCTTGCAATCCGCGAATGGAGATGTAGGCTGAAAATAAACACATCAAGTTTGTAAATATTTAAATGATGTATTTTTCTCTAAGTTTAATGCCTTAAATCATTTCATATGCTAAATTATATCAACCTAACTATAACTTTGATATTTATATCTATCTGTGTCCATAGGACCAGAATTCGAAAAGTAAATCATTTTGTCTGCATCCTCCACATTTATCTGATGAGCGTGACGTGACGTATCGTTGCTTCTACCCACAGGTTAGCCACCAATCTGGTCCTCCCTGTTCAGGACGTCCCGGAGGACGTGAGGAACTACGGAATGTCCAGGTACATCACGCACCCGCCCCTTGACCTTCAGGCCATCAGGAAAAAGACGCAAGACTTGATCGCGGGATGTCAGATGGATGTAAGCAGACACGCGAAAAAAGTCTGGTAGTCGACTAGATGAAAGGAGAATAGCTCGAAGTGTTAGCCAAGGATGTAAAATTCTGTTATTGAAAGTACCAAAGATACACAATGACACAGAAACAACTGAAGGGGGCTCTCGTGGCCAAGAGGTTAAGGTGTTGACTTCTCATTCAAAGGTCCCGGGTTCGAATCCGGGTAGCGACCGAAAAATTTTCTTCTCTAAATTTGTCTCCTTTCACCTCATTTCCTGCTCTCTAGCAATGTTCTGTTGTCTGCTTTCGTCTCCTCTTTCTGCCCCCACCACCTCACCTCCTTTGCCCCTTCCTCTGGGCTCCTGATTCTTTCTGCAGCCTTTCTACTGCTACTCCTTGGCTTCTTCTTACTGCTGTCTTTCAGCCACACCCCTGATCTTGTGGTAGGAAAGATCTACACCTAGCCTTCTTGGACAAGGGCGAAAAATCTCGGAGGGCTCGTGTGCAAGTTGCGCACGTTAAAGATCCCTTGGTGGTCTAAAATCGATAAGAGTAGGCTTCAGCGGCCACCCGGGCAAAATTCAAAATTTCCTACCAACTGAAAAAATTAGGTGTGTCCCGCGCGCTCATATGACCTTATGCAGTTGCGAACGCCGTAAAACACTTTACAAAAACAAGAAACAACTGAAGAGCAATAAAAGGTCAAAGGTAAAAGCGAGGTATCGTCAGACGCTGTATTCAAAGATAGTAAATAACAAGATGGGCCACTCAGCCAAAAAAGTGTCCGCAGGAAGTTCGCTCTTTGCTTCAGATGGCACTGCAGTCTGTTTTGAAGCTCTCTTTCGTTTTTCCAGAAGAAGAATAGGAATAGCACCTCCTTGCTTGCGCAGATCGACCGCTGTTCATCAGCAGTTCGGGTTCGTTCAGTGCGGAGTTTTAGGTTTTTTATATTTTAATGACCTCTCACCTTTCATTCTAAAGTCAAATTAAACGAAGAAAACAATCACCCTTTCCTCTGGAAGAGGTTTTTTGTCAGCTTAACCATTTTTTAAAAAGCGTTCTTCCGAAATTCATTCAAAAACTTGCTAGTTTCACTTTGATTTTGTTAACTCAAGTAGGATAACTCTGTTCGCAAAAGGTGCGCTTTTGCGAAGAGGACGCCACCGAATTTTGAGGACACTTTTTTAATTGGCTCAAAGAGAGAAGTGACCTCTCTTGATATATAGACTCTTTGCTGTATTGAGGTATCGTCAGACGCTGTGTTCAGCTACGCTGGTCATCTGAGAAAAAGGCAGCTCCGACAGTTCTTTTATGGGTGATAAAAAATATTAGGGTTGGGCTATGTGTGAGTGTGTGTGTGTGTTCATTGCCTGTGATCTATTACAGAAAAATCAACCAAACTAACAGTGCAGTTTCAAAACTCATGCACTATAATGAACTGTGAGTGTTTATTGACAGAACGCCTCGGTTTCACAACAGGTTATCCTTTTTCATATATATTTCTGCTTTCCTTACAAGCACTTTTGGTCCCATTTCTAGTCAAACCCCGCAACACTGCGGACGTTGGGACAAGCGTGAAGTTGGCGACATAGTGTGGCTGGTGGTATAAAGGGGCTTTGGTGCTGTCCTCTGTTCAGTAGTACATTGGCGACATAGTGTGGCTGGTGGTATAAAGGGGCTTTGGTGCAGTCCTCTGTTCAGTAGCACCGATTGATCAAGTCCAGAGAAACAATTTTGTCACAACTACAGGAGGAACAATATTGTACTGAGTTATTTCCCTTTGAGGGGTAAAACAGCTTATACTTTCTATAAAGTTTTCCCCTCTTTTTTATATTTTTATTTCTTTTTTTTTTGGTTTTGTTTTTGTGGATGGTTAGAGAGCTGCAGTAGTAAGTCCTCCTTCATTACTGGCCTTCTGTCTATCATTTCTGTCTGTCACTCTTGCTCTTTCCAAGGACTAAATGATTGTAATCACACCAGTGAGTCTGTCTGAACTCACCACCCACAACTTTTCCTCTTTTTAATTCTATTGAAATTTTTTTTTTTTTGGTGGGCATTGTTCATCATCTGTCCTTTGGAGTTATTGGTATAATCTTGCTCTTTCAGCCACACCCCTGATCTTCTAATAGGAAAGATCTCTACCTTAGCCTTCTCGGACAAGGGGGAACAAACCTCGGAGGTCTCGTGTGCAAGTTGCGCTCGTTAAAGATCTCTTGGTGATCCAAAATCGATAAGAATAGGCTTCGGCCACCACCCGGGCAAAATTCAAAATTATCTACCGATTGAAAATGTTTTATGTGTCCCGCGCGCTCATATGACCGTATGCAGTTGCGAGCGTCGTAGAACACTTACCCCCCCTCCCAAAAAAAAACCCCCACCAAAAACCAAACCTGCTCTTGACTAGCTCCACTAGATGATCTTTTGTCACATCAGTGCACCTCTTTGTACTCATCATCATCATATGTGAGGCAGCCCGGTGGAATCAGGCTCTCGTCAAAATAATGAAATCGAAGAAAACAGCAGTTTTCTCCCTGCTTAGCAATTTTTATCAAATTTCTGTTTTTTGGCTCAACACCTTTTATGTCCATTTACAAACACATTCCTTTGAGGATTTCACCGAAAACATTGATTAAAGGCACAAAAATATAAATTTACAGTTTCCAAGGACTCTCCAGATTTGAAATTAACCAAACTTTGGCGGCCATTTTCTCGCTAATTTTACCTCTTAGATCAGGTGACCCCCACCTCCTTCAAATCAAAATATCTCCACTTCTATTGAAGATGGATGGGAAATTTTTTCATTGAAAGCAAGACAAATGAGCAAGCTTTAAGATGATACCAATAACTCAGTATGCCCAAAAATTGACGAGAGCCTGATTCCACCACATTGCCTCACATTTCCTTTCTCACCCTGCACCAGGGTATAGGCCATGGACAAACACTTTCTACCTTTCTCTATCCTGGGCTAGCCTCTTGATGTTATTCCATGTCATCCCACTTTTCTGTATATCAATTTCTGTGATTCTTCTCTGTACTCGTACTAAACTCAGTTGTCTCAGATTTTCATTTCGTTTTTCTGTTCCACCCCCCCCCGCTTCCCCAAACTCTCCAGCGTGAGATGTGTGTGCAGGACATGAAACTGCTCCAGGAGACGGCTCTGATGGTCCAGAGACAAAACCAGCGCATGGCTCAGGAGCTGGGTAATTCTTTTTTGAAACTACACTCAAATAATGGTTGTACAACATATAGTGCGTGCTGTAGAGTAATTATAATAATAATAATCATCATAATAATTGTATTTTGTAATACAACATCTCCACACTGTACAGCATGCAGTATGTGTTGTACAACTACCGTATTAATTATTTCCCCAGCAGGACCCAAGAGCACTCACAAACATTCTTGGTTTCCAGGGAAACCTGTCCAAGGCGACGACTCCTTTGTTGGGGAGAAGAGTGGTTATTTTAGACATTTGGTTCTTTCGCACAGTGCAGGCAGGCCTACTTAGAAAATAGAAAAAAAAACACAAGGGGATTTGAAGACGGGGAGGGTGGG